ATGGAATGGAAGTGATTGAACCAAATCAATAGTTTTCAATAAAGAAATCTGTTTTTTCAAAAAGATATTTATATACAATAGGAAGGTGTATTAAAATCAATAAACAAATAAAAAGAGGTGTATCTTACCCGTTCAGTTTATTAATGCTGCATTGATTTGGACTCGTTAGGTCATGACATAGAACCAGTGGTGTAAAGTACATTTACTCAAGTTTCTTAAGTACAATTTTGAGATACTTGTACTTTACTTGAGTATTTTAATGTTATGCTACTTTGTACTTCTACTCCACTACAATTCAGAGTTACATTATGTACTTTTACTCACTACACGTATTTAATACCTTTAGTTACTCTACAGATGTGGATGAATGGTGTGAAATATAATCAAGTGTTAAATCAGACTTTAGTTCCACCTGGAGTAAATCCACAAGCTACCCTGCAGTATACAAAGTCATTCAAACTAGCTGCACCTTTACCAGCTTTGACAACACTTTAATGATCAATCATTATAAAACATATCATATCTATTATTCTGAAATGGACCAATCTGCACAATGACTACTTTTACTGTCGCTACTTTAACTACATTTTGATGATAATACTTTTATACTTTTACTTGAGGAAAAAAATTAAAAAAAACATATTAAAAAAATATTCCTCTTTTTATTGCATGGGCCCCTGGCCGGCTCTGGGCCCCGGTGCGTTGCACCGGCTGCACCGGCGATAGTTACGCCACTGGTGATAACGTTACTCGTAATTGGCGCAACAGAGCTACGAGTTAAGGAAGTCGAAAATTGTGCATTTCTCAGACGAAATTAACACTGGCCGTTTGTTTGTAATAGGTAGTCCAAAGGCTAAGTCAATTGGTAGGATGAATACTCAAGAGTGTGCGATTGAAACACTCAACCGGGTTTCATCTTGGGTGGTATGGTGTTGTCCTTATTTTATGAATTCCTGTGATTTGGCATAGTTCCTTTACTGTCCTGGATTCAAAGTCCGGTCCCTGATCGCTGTGTAGTTTGTCTGGAATTCCGTAGTGAATGAAAACGTTTTCCCATAGACATTTAGCCACTGTCCTGGCCTTCGGGTCGGGTGTGGGAATAGCAATGGCATACTTGCATGGCTTTGCTGAATTCTAGGTCGATAGCAAACAAAACGCTCCTGCTAAATGAATTCTTCACCTCTCGTGAACTGGATTTTATGTTTCTGACGGAGACCTGGGTCCACGCTGGCGAGTATACACCGTTCTCTGAACTTCTTCCTCCTGACTGTACTTTCTTCAGCTCCCCCCGTGCCACCGGCCGTGGCGGGGGCATAGCTTCAGTGTTTAGAGCTAGCCTGAACAATGCCGACTGCTTCACCCTGTAACTAGCTACGCAAGCTTTGAGTTGCATATTTTTGAACTGAACCCGACCTCGTCTTTACTCTGCGTAGTCGTGTATCGTCCGCCAAAGTGCAATAAGGATTTCATAAATGACTTTTCTGACTTTCTGTCCGGGATCATGGTGAAATATGATCGTGTTTTGATCTCCGGAGACTTCAATGTCCATGTGTGTTGCGAGTCCAAACTTCTGGTTAGGGACTTTTTAAATCTCCTTGATTATTTTGGTCTCATTCTCTGTGGATGAAATCTGTGCAGCAACGCGTATCTCAGACCATTTACCGGTTCTGTTTACACAACACACTCTCACTCCATAATCGTCCAGGAGCGACGCTTGGTCAGGGTCCCGTGGCGTGCAGTTGTGACGCTCCTAGGCTCCTTCAGCTTCATAAGGGGACGCAAATAGCTTTCAACTGATTGCAATGTATTCCCATCTGCGGCGGGATTTGACGCTCATGGAAGCACGGCATTCGTTTGTGTCGGCTGCCCTTAAAGGCAATGTGAGCGTCCATTCCCATTGGATAACGGATAATTGTACACCCGGAAGTAAGTATTCCCCTTACTGTCGATTGATTTGACAGTGATATCTGCACTACTCATCGACTAAAAAACACCAGATTATCCTTGTTAATTACACAACATTGATTGGTTTAAATTGTTTGCAATGCTTTTGTATTTTTCGCCTTCGATTCGGAGAAACAAATATTTTTTCGGAGTAAAGGATGGCAGAAGACACTACACTACCCAGAATCCCCAGCTATCGTTTAGGACTACACCATGTGCTCTGTTTGACAAGCTCCGTGATTAGTTCTCAAGCTCTGTGATATGTTTGACCTCCAACTGCATTCTATTCATTCCAATGGCTGGTGTCTATGTCACGTGATCTTCAAATTTCTCCCTGCATAAAAAAAAAACATGGCAGAACTTCGTTTTATTCTCGGTGGAAAATACCTATTTTAAAGTTAT